GCTTACCAGCCCCCTTCCCTTGGATCCATTCCGATGCCACATTGCGAGGAAAACCTGGTAAAATTTTGTGGAGACGGGAAGTTGTAAGAATTAAGGTGACAAGGTGATAAGTAGGCTAGGAGAGAGGGCCGTGTTGCCGTAGAACTTTCTGGGAAGGCGGCGAGAGGGGGATTTCTGATGACACCGCCATTTCACCCGTACCCTATGCTGTAACTTGGTTGTGATTTGCCTGTCATTATGGAGAAGTAATGAGTTTTTCCTCGAGTAATTAGATCCTGCTGATTTTTCGCAGATTCACCTGCGGTTCAGTTTTCAGTGTGGATTCTTGCTGTCACGAGAGTTAATTCGAGATTTAGTCGGCGTTTTAATCGCGCAATATTTGGTCGACCCCTTTGTACGGCGATTTCGTTTCGCATCGATGACGGCATCGAATGAAGCGGCCGGTTTGTCACTCAGTGATGGCGGGCTGACCGAAACGGGTCGACTCACGGCCGATTCGACATGGTTCGTGGCGTTACAATACGTTTTCACTATCGGAAGCAGCAGACTGATTCCAGTGACGACCAGAAGCCAATAAAGTTTACGAGAGCATGTCGCGGTGAAGGTCAGCTAAGGAGGAAACGAGAAAGGATGTGAAGTGATCTAAAGGAGCAGAAAAGTGGAAAAAGGAGGAAAAAGTGAAAAATTGAGAGACGACGGAAGGAAACTAGGATAACACGTCATCAATGATGAAACACTTCCCAGACTGAGGCGAAAAGTCAGGGAAGCATTGGATGCTAGTCAGCCTTATGTTTTACCTCGAAGACAAGCTGTGCGCTCACTTCCAAGAACGGTCCCCGCCACGAGCGAAGCGAGTGGATTCGCAGCTGCAGTAGCATGCCACTTTTTCTGCTCGAAAGTACACGGGATCGAAGCTGGATAGTAGTGATACCCTGGTGCCTTGTCCATACTCCAGCCGCGCTATGCCAAATGTACAGCTTTGCGTCGATTCAAGGTCCCCTCTCCCTCCCTCCCCGTCCTCCCTCCCGCCCCCTCCTCTTGAGCTGTACTATAGTACAACGCGATGGCTACAGATGGAGGAGATCAACTCCTCATAAAAAAAAAAGGGGGGGAGTCGTACAACTCAAACCGATTATGTCCCTTGTGAGGAAGCTGATCCGATTCCTGGTAGAATTAGGCTCTTCTCTCATCGAGATTAGAAGGCTCATGCTTCTGAAGAGAAAGAAAGAAACAGTCAGTTTTATGAAAAGTGAAAATTCGATAAACGAACATCTCTGAAAACTTCTTTAGTGTGTGCATATACAGCCCTAAACCCTACTCTAAGTAGGCAGCGCTCACAGCAGCGGACGTAGAAAAGCCCTTTTCGCCGAGATGTGCACAGCCTTTCACTCACAATGAGGAGAGGGAGCACCATGTCACGTTGGAAGCTTTCATATTGCGCTACTAGTGGATCGCCAAATCTTGAGATTGAACCCCCCCTCAGCAAACGAAACCTTTATCCTTGCGGGTTGGTCATTTGTACCATTTGTAATCAATGTATCTGCGATGAAAAAAAATTAATTGTTCATACACGCCCTGAAAGCTGTTGTATAGGAAGATATATCACCTTTTGAAGGCCGCTACCATTAGCCGCTATGACGGACATTTTCGATGCGTGGCGCGTCCCAGACGTGAAGTTCGTTGAACTAACCAATACTCCTTTTTGCCCTTGTTGTGCTCCTCCGAAGTCAGGGTCCTGGAACCCTTTCTGCTTGCGTGAACCCAAAAATCCATCATGAAAACAGCTTTTATCAGTTCGAATCAGATGCACAACACAACTAACGCCGAACTATTTGCATATAAAAGTTCTCTAGAAGCTACCAAAGAAAATACATAATTACAACAAATATGGAACTATCATCGGGATGGCCTACCCGTGCATAACTGAAGTGTAGGGTGAAAAAGACAGAATGAAGAAAAATAATAGACGAGAAAAGAAAGCCGAACAAATAGTGCAACAAATATAGGGTTGGTTATATAGACTGGGAAAATCGATAACAATCGATACCGGTGAAAAGTGTAGAGTGTAAAAGATGTGTACAGTCATTCTTTGCAAACGATGGGGCATAGGACAGCAAAGTGGCTTGGAGCGCAGCCAAGGCAGATTTCCCACCAATAGTAGCGGATCCAAGATGGCATCATTGGTCGCCCTGGACGCGCTTCAATACGCACCGCGTCACATGCCCTATCGATTGCAGGGATCATGACTGTAGATAGCGAAAGCGTTACGGTAAGCATTTTTTCAGCTTTGATCCTTATCACATATCAAATCGATGTTCCAACGGGATCACATACACTCACATAGATAATGATGATGATGATTACTGTACCAGATAAGACTAGGTGATTAACTTATCATATATCACTGATAACGGATGGACTCGCGAGAAATTAGTGCTGCCGATGGGTGGATCATTTGGCAAGCAACATTAACAACAGAATTTCACGTAACAGAATGGCAAGGTGGTATGAAGAGCTCTGTACATTGCATGAAAAAAGACCTGTACCCCTGTAAGGGCTAGGGTTACGACTTAGAGGTAAATAAGCATGTCGACGAATTGTTGTGGTGTGACCCGCACCGAAGGCGAACCCGGTCGAAGACATGGATGTCCCAATGTCTTCCAAAATAACGCCTTACAATGACAACAAATGTTGATGAGATCTGCATACACCTGAAATCCGTACGCTTTCGATAGATGATCGATTTGACCGGACTTAAAGACACATTTCGCGAATACGAATCGTGGGAAGTAGGGTCCAAATATGGTCTCGGAGGCGCTAGTTGGCTTACCGGTGAAGAAGAGACCACTCGAAACCGTGTAGAGAGTCCAAGTAAGGACGCTTTTTTGCAGTTTGCTTTGAGCATTCGCGAGCATGGCAAGAAGCGAGAGACGATGGAAGAACGTGCGCGAGCTAGAGATCAGAGACAAATAGAAGGAGGACAAATGTGGTCCCACAAGGAAACGATAGGGCACAAATATGATCACAAAACCATTCCCATGAGGGAGGAGCCGCAATCTGGTGGGTGGAGTTGCTATTGCAAACGACAGCCTCAGCGCTAATATAACCCATTTTTGAGCAGGGAAAGTGGTACAAACTGCGTTAGCAACACCGGCCTTGTACAAGGAAGGTGTTTTACCTATCAGATAATTGCGAAGTATGTCTTCGAAGGAGGGAACTTACCTCACGTATACCATTGTACTTCTTCAGCTCGAAGAACGTCTGCCGCCATGTCTTCGCTGGCGTCTTTCGTTGATCGATTTGGGCAGGTGTGAAATGGAATTCACATAGCGATTGCCATAAACGATCTTCACGATCAATGATGCATTGAAGGGCTTCGTGTGCCTGAAACATGAATATTAAAGGTCTGCTGAGCACAGTGGTACACAGCAGACAAGTCTGTGAATTGGGCGGTTTTCAGTGACCAATAATGGGCAGGTGTTGGGAAGTTCCTGTTGCAGTGACGCGCATAAATATTGTACCGTTAGTTTTGTGAGGTGCCCACGCACTGTGCGTCGTCATGGCCACATGACATCATGTTCAACGAGTATAGCACCACGTCCAGTATGCTCGTCTACGGCCTCTCAAAAGCCTCCCTGTCATTCCGGAGTGCTCCTGAGTAGCGTCAAGACGCAATTATACAGCTGTGATGAAGTTCTCATGTTTAGAATATGTACGACGTAACGTACTTCTGCGTCGCTTCGACCGCAAACTACATTTGGTAATTTCCAGCATGTGTCCTGGCCACTTGACTCGACATATTGCAGCCAATTTCCAGAACAACATAAGGCCGTCCTCGCGTATTGCGTATGAGCACGCCTAAATTTCGCTGCACTGTGACTTCCGGCGATGCATCACGGAAAATCCTTCAGGGGTCTTACACGGAACTCTAACGATTTGCATGCTTGCTTTGCTGATTTGGGACGATGAATTTCAGCAGAACCAGCGTTCTTGAGCTGCAGTAAAGATCGACACGAGTAACTGTACCAAGACGGGGAAATAGGGTACCCATCTCTCAATCGTAGGGATACCGCCGCAAGTGAAGGCACTCCTGCCATTAGGGAAGTGTCCACAGAATATATAACCTTCTCAAGATTTTCTCCCCCTAGAGCAACCCTTAGCCAGCTTCCTATGTCCTCGTCTACTCATTTTATAAAACTTTCCAACCCCTTGCACTTTTCCTCGACTTTTACTTACGAATTCCTTTCACTTTCCTAAAGACTGCGCTGTGGAGAGGGTGGTGCAGCTATGGAACAGAAAACCCAAGAAGTCCAACACGATAAAAAAACCCCTTCGCTTCAAGACAAAATACGACCGCCGCCCCCATGCTAATGCAGTGTTCCCAGCGTGACGACCCGTCCCGTTGCGAGTCCTCAAAGCCTGCCTTTATCACAAAAAGGGTCCGACATTTCATTAAGATTTATCCTCACCGTTGGCGTCTCCAAAGAGAGCGATCCGGTCAGGAAACGCGTGCGGAAGCAACCAGCGACAGAATCTAAATAAAGGTTTTTGTGTAGCTGATAAGAGTTAAGGTCAGAAAAAGCCTCCTTAGGACTTACTTACCTCTCTAGGCAGGTCAAGGAAGGTAGTGCTGGTTTCGTCAGCAGAAGCGACGGTTTTTGGTTGTCTGTCAGAGATCACATCGAGAAGTGAGCTGGCTGCATGTTGATGACGTGACACCAGCTGAGGTGAACCACACACATGGCCATCGAGAGCTTGACCGAACTGAAATTTGAGCTGATTGTTGTCAGATGGCCGGATGCCTTGCGCAAGCATTTCATCGAAGGTCAATTAGCCACTCTGCACTGATAGATTAGCGTTGTCATCGAAAATAGCCCTAGACGATGACGACTGGGAGGCATCAAAGTTCTTCCCTCAAATCTCCCGGGATTGCTCAGGATTAATCGAGGGTGGGCGTCTTGTCAAGACGAGTCACTGAGAAACTCCATTCGGAAACATAACCAGTAGTTATAATAATTATATGTGATATTACATAATATATGGTGATGTTTATGTTAATAATTATATTATTATCTCGCTATTTCTTATTTCCAATAAGTATGGAGACTAATAGATTATTAGGAGAGTGATAGTATAATAAAGCATTGTCCTAGCAAGATTCCAAGTCAAGGAAAACAGGCGGGATACAGTACCCTTAAAAATTGCGCGTAGAATCAAATATGTCGGCTTCGTGAATACACACTATTGGGCATAGCGTAATCCGGTTTAGTTGCCCAAATAAGCTCCAGTAAGGCAGGGAAATGACAGCGATGCTAAATCCACTTTCTACCTGTAACCAGGTGTGCATAGGCGAAAACTAAGTAGTATTTTGTGCACTCGACGCTCCGAGGCACTTAATTTTACGAGCAGTTTGAGATACTGTAATACGCCTGTTTTCTTAAACTTACGATTCAGGGTCACTCTAACTATAGTTGGCTGTTTCAAAGGCCTCTCTGATTTTGGCCTAGATTTGCTCCACCTCAGAGAATCCCGATGGATTTTGACTAGCAAGCCCCTACCAAGAGCCTGGCCCCTTCTTCCTATCCCCGACTGCAATCCTACGAACAAAACATAAAACCCATGAACGGCTGGCGGCTAGTGTTTCCTCCAATCCGGCTTTGGTCGTTGTTTTGATCGCCAGAATCCATTTCAAAGTAAGGGAAGAATGGCTAATGATGTGTTTGCCTCTCCCAATGCCCCTCCCTCCACCCTTTTTTGGACTTGGCGCACAAAATTTAGCAGTCCTTTGCGACGACCCGACAAGAGGCAAACAACCTTCCTCTGCCATATGCCATACAATGCAACTCCACGTTCTAGTCCCACTTCACTCAACGAGAAATACCGTATTGTGCCAATCAATGCCACAAGGTCTTCTCGAAGCTATCTCGTCGTGCAATTATTACATTATTCTTCCGCCATTGAAAATGGGAGAAAAGAGAAAATTGCCATAGAAAAACGCCTAATGCACTTTCAAGGAATATCCATCCCTTCTCCAAAAAGATGATGACAAGCTCTATTAAAATTATTCATTTTAAGAAACTATCCATATGAGCCCATTTTGAGGTGGGTTTCCTTCTGGAGGGAGAAGTGGGCACAGTGGCGACGGGAGAGGGTTGAGGGGAGGTTAGGGCATTTTGCACTTCCGCTACTTTCCATTGACGTTTTCACTTTACAAGAGTTGACAAGTAGTCTCTACAAACTTTGACTGGTATCACTTCCTGGCATCACAAGATTTCACAACTCTCCACTTGACGGCTCGACACGACCATGGGAAGCAGTGAATGTGCAAAATGCCCCCCCCCGCCCCGTTTCCGAGCTACGTAAGTGGTAGTCAGCAGCATCCCTTTTCTCATACTCTAGGTTACTCCTCAGAATAATCGTAGTAATCGTAATATAAGATAGATTCTTCGATTGACTGATCAACCCCTATGACCACCAGCTCCACCGGCTTCTGGAATGGTACGGCAAGAATCGCTAGTTCAGTGTTTCGGAAGTTTACATACGAGAGTCGAATCCGTGGGATAACTAGAAAGGCTAGCCTTTATGACTGGATGAGATCATATACAGTGGGCCCTATTCGGGAAGGGGGGG